TTGTTGGGCTTTCCGTAGCGTTCTTTGTACTTCTCATATGAAAAAAGGTCCTTCGCTGCAAGGAATGCTCTGTGAGAAAAAGAGATGAAGTAAGGGTGAAAAAACTGATCAACTAAAAACCAATTTGATCTTAAAATAAAAAGGTTGTTGACATCCAAGTTTTACTTGACTTGAGACTTTATAAGAGTGGACTGTGCCACCTAGTGATAGATTAATATACTGCAGGTGCCATCTTGTGTCAAAGAGATGTTGTTTGATGATGAATGAAACATGAGAAATCATCCCTCAGAAACAAACTGCTCCCGTACTCATACCAACACCAGTCAATAGTAAACAGTGACACCTTCAGAGGAGTGTAAAGCTCATGAGAGGCGACTAACAGGCAGCGATGTGAGACGAAACAAGAGACTTATGTTATCATCTCACGAAGACGATATCAAGATGAGTCAGTGCGTGAATTAAAAACTGGCACAGAAAATTCAACTATAAGTTATGAAATAAATCAATCAAATGTACTATAGATAATGGATTTCAAACAACGTCATTATTTCCATTCAGCCAATTGTAGTCATCTAGGTTGTATTAGCTCGACAAATCCAATTAACTTTTACTTTATGATGATACCTTGTTGTGTTTAGGGCTGGGCAATAAAACAATATCAATAATTATCACTAAATAATGTCATCAATACCAATATTACAAAAGCCAAATAGATATTACAATACAATATATACAATTCACAATCAATCTGACAGTGCTCTTGTGACTACACAACTGTTTTGGTTGCTCTCTCTATAATAATAATAATAATAATAATAATGTGATATTTATAATGATTATTAGCCACATCGTTTGATATGAACATTTTTTGTTTTAGCCATATCGCCTAGCCAGAGTTGTGTTGCACTCACGTCTCATGTGTCCCAAAGAAGAAAATAGGAATTTTATTGGGAGGAGGTTTCACTGCTCCATCAGCCACGTCTTCAATCTGTAAACAAACCAGACCTTCAGGTGAACAACAAACGACAGAGAGGAAACGATGCACAACTCTTCTGTGGACCTGGTGGTCTCATGTACTGATGACATGTAGTAAACAAAACACCACATATTCATATTAACTCATGTACAAATACTACAGATCTGTGGTGCGCGATTAACAAGTGTGGACCTGGAGCAGATCACTCTCATCAGGGGGAAATTGTCATGAACGTAATTTCCAGATTATCTCAGTTGGCTTTGCTGCTGTACGTCTCCACACTGAAGAGGCCGACAGCATCTGATGCAGAAGCCGCTGCTGGTGCTCTGGCTGCGGGCCTGCGTCGCAGCCTGTCAGCCTGTTGTGGTATGAACTTCAGTATGTTTTCTGATGGGTGTCCATGTTAGACACACAGATACACAGAGAAGCTTCTCCAGCAGCAACAGCCCACCCCCCCTCCGCCCCTCCGGCTGCTGCTGCTGCTGCTAACGCTACTCGCTCACCCTGGCTGGCCAGTGGGGGTATCCCTTCATTTTAGCGAAGACCAGGTCTCCGGGCTGGAAGTCGTGCGGCATCGTCCCGCTCCTCGGTGCAGCCTGCGGCTCTGGGCAGTGTTCGGCTGCGCGGGCCTGTCGGTGTCTCTCCGCCGTCTGCTGTTCTCAGGTCGACACGGAACCTGGAGACGATGGGGTTAGCTCGCAGGCTAACTGTGTGCTAACGTTAGCGCGAGAAGAGGCGGCGACGTGAGCACGGCGGCAGTGTATAGGACACTTCCGGTGGAGGCTCAGCTCGCGCTTCAAAATAAATGTCTCTACTGGAAACTAAAATATCGTGCCATGGAAGTCTTGTAATTCAGAGTCAATGAAACGGCTCAATGTATTGGAAATCTATTCAAATCATATATCAGGGGGAGCAGACCTATGGTCACTGTCACGTGACTTTTATCTCCTATTTATTTATACTTTTATGCTGTTTTACAGATATATCCTTTTATCGTTTAGTTTTTTCTTGTTTTGAAATGTGTTCTTTTATTGTCATGCATTTTTTAAATCACTTTGTAACCCCATTAAGATGTGCTATATATAAATTAAGGATTGTTATCATATTACTATTCTATTTTATTTATTTATTCAATTATTTACTCGTTATTTTCTGAGGTGTTCTCACTTAAGCACCCTGCTTCTGTGTCCCTCTTTTACCACTTTTACTTACTCCTCCTAGCATTTTAATTATTATTTCTTTACTTTATAATTTATCATCTCTCTCAGTATTATTTTATATGTATTTTTTCGTCATCTAATTTAATATTGTGTCTTTATCCTTTTATTTTATCTCTTTTAATATTTTGTTTATTCATATGTAATTATATTTTTCTTAGCTTTAAAAGGGAAAACCTTTTTTTTTGTCCACTTTACTTTTTGTTAATTAGCAAATTCACCACATGTGAAACATCAGGTCTCATACACATTCACACATTGATCAATACATACAGTACATCAGTGATACTAATAGGTTTCTGAGTCAATATCAGAAAATCCACATGTCAGAACTCTGTATTTCTTTAAAAGTTTATTTTTCGGGTAAATCAGAAATTACGTAAAGTTGTCGACTCTTACTTTACAAAGAAGACTGAACCCTGTTCTCAAGGCGGATATGAAGTCATGATATGTTACGTGAAGCTTCACGGATCCGGATGAACCAGCATGATCGTCTCCACGCGATTCGCCAACACGAGCGGAAGTCCCGCCTCTTCCCCTTCCCCATTGGCTGAGCTGTGATCAGTTTCCTCCTCGTCCAATGACAGCTGACAATGTGGTCGGCTGCGTTGACCTCCCCCTGCATTCACCTCTAATGAGAAGCCATGTTTCGGTCTTTGAGAAGCGTCCAGCAGTTTAACTGCAAGCTCCAGGCTTTACACAGACTCAGAATCCCCCTCTGCACGTCCAGGATGAGCTGCTCACAGTTCAGGATCGAGCGGGACACGTTCGGTGAGCTGAAGGTCCCAGCCGACAAGTACTACGGAGCCCAGACTGTCAGATCCACCATGAACTTCAAGATCGGGGGACCGAGTGAGAGAATGCCCCTCCAAGTGATCAAGGCCTTTGGGATCCTGAAGAAAGCTGCTGCTGAGGTGAACAAGGACTACGGCCTCAACCCACAGGTGGCAGATGCGATCATCCAGGCTGCAGACGAGGTGTCCGCGGGTAAGCTGGACGACCACTTCCCTCTGGTGGTGTGGCAGACAGGATCTGGAACTCAGACCAACATGAACGTCAACGAGGTGATCAGCAACAGGGCCATTGAGATCATGGGAGGGAAGCTGGGCTCCAAGGATCCCGTCCACCCCAACGACCACGTCAACAAGAGTCAGAGCTCCAACGACACCTTCCCCACCGCCATGCACATAGCTGCGGCCACAGAGGTCCACCAGGTCCTGCTCCCCGGCCTGCAGACCCTCCACGATGCTCTGGCTGCCAAAGCTGAAGAGTTCAAAGATATCATCAAGATAGGACGCACACACACTCAGGACGCTGTGCCGCTCTCACTGGGACAAGAGTTCAGTGGTTATGTCCAACAGGTCAAGTACAGCATAGCGAGAGTGAAGGCCGCCATGCCCAGAGTGTATGAGCTGGCCGCAGGAGGCACAGCAGTAGGAACAGGACTCAACACCCGAATTGGCTTTGCTGAGAAAGTGGCCTCCACCGTTGCCTCTCTCACAGGCCTTCCTTTCGTGACGGCTCCCAACAAGTTTGAAGCCCTGGCGGCCCACGATGCCCTGGTGGAGCTGAGCGGAGCCCTGAACACTGTGGCTGTCAGCATGATGAAGATCGCCAACGACATCCGCTTCCTGGGGTCAGGACCCCGCTCCGGCCTCGGGGAGCTCATCTTACCAGAGAACGAGCCGGGAAGCAGCATCATGCCTGGCAAGGTGAACCCCACCCAGTGCGAGGCCATGACCATGGTCGCGGCCCAGGTGATTGGGAACCATGTGGCGGTCACCGTCGGAGGCAGCAATGGACACTTTGAGCTCAATGTCTTCAAACCCATGATCATCAAGAACGTGCTGAACTCTGCACAGCTACTGGGCGACGCGTCTGTCTCCTTCACCAAAAACTGCGTGTCAGGGATCGAGGCCAACACAGAGAGGATCAACAAGCTCATGAACGAGTCCCTCATGTTAGTCACAGCGCTCAACCCACACATCGGCTACGATAAAGCGGCCGCCATCGCCAAGACGGCTCATAAGAAAGGCACCACGCTGAAGGCTATGGCCATTGAGCTGGGATACCTGACCGAGGAGCAGTTTGACCAGTGGGTGAAGCCGAGTGAAATGCTGGGGCCAAAGTAAACTCTGGAAAGCCAGAGACACCCCTACACACAAGAATACCTTTTCGACTGTAAGAACTGTCTGCACAAAACCTGAACATCTCATACTTCTTAATAAAAACTGAGAATCCTCTGCTGTTGTGTGATGCAGCTTCTTACCGGTGTAATTTAAATTAATGTGGTTCAACTACAACATTTTCTTACATCCATAATAGACCTGAGCTAAATGAGTTTTATTGAATTGGCCAAAAACTTATAATGCAAAGACAGACAAAATGTTAATCAATTAGTACTCCAGATATTTATGAAGGATTTGTCACACAAAGCTGTATGTCTTAAATTTAGTTATCATTTAGCAAAGCCTTACTTTTGCACTTTTGCAGACAGACACCCGACTCTGCTCACAGATACAACTGTTTCTGTAGTAAAATATGAATACACACTATTCGGTTCTTGTATTCAAAGTTTCACTTTTTGACTTTCGTTTTAGTTTGTACCCTCAACTCAGTTCCCATATTGACTCTGTGCCATCCCAAATAATTCAACATGGACTTCTGTACTGCACGTGTTCTGGTTTACAGTATCTGTGTCGATTGTGCAATGTTTCAGTTCAAATGAAAATGTATATAAAAAAATATTTTCTGGCTTTGACACTTTTCTTGCATTGTTCACACACACAATAAAACATTAGGTGATATGCTTGGTCATCAAGGATATATTGTCCAGTATGTAACATAAGGAAGAACTCAACAAATTGTATCTTTACTCAAATCCTATTGTATACACCAGGGACAGCAACAAAAAATACACAATTAAAATCCAATTTTAATTGTATATTGATAAAATTAGTAAATAACAAACATAAGTTTCAAAAAGGGTTGTGTGAGATTTTTGTGCAAGTTTAAAAAAACAAAAAATGGAGAGAACATTTTCTCCTCTTCTACTTGGTCCAGCTGACCTTGGGAATATCGTAATGCTCTGTCAAGGCATCCAGGTGGCGATTGAAATCCTGCAGACGAATGAAACAATAGAAGATGCATTCATTTAAACTTTACATTTACTTAGGTGGTCATATATATAAGAGCATTTTGTGCGCATCTTGTGACATAAATATTACATAAATAATACATATATAGCTGTATGTTAATCACTCAAATTAATTTACTTGTAGAATTGAGCTGTTTTGCCAGACGGACTGAATACAGCTCTGCAATGTCTGATGTGTGACTTACCTCCACTCTGTGTTTATGAGTCTTAGACGCCTTGTTCAAAATTCTCTCCATTTGCTGTAAGGAAAGAGAGAGAGACAGAGGCCAAATGAATGATTTGAAAAATGCACATCACAACAGTCAGTTTACATCATCACAACTACAACATTAAAACACCCCAAACTCAAGAAACTATCTGTAACTGGTGGATTTGTCATTATTTGTGTCTATGGCAACAGAAAGGATCATCTCATCCCAATAAATCACATGTTAAATTTGTATAGTGTTATTAAAATATGTATAGTGCTATTTGCCTATGCCTTCTGCCTAAAACAACTATGTCTCTAATGCTAGACAACAATAACTCACCCTCTTCTCCTGCGTCTTGTCAAAGGCCATTTGTGCCGGTGTCCTTTTGTCAACAAAAGCTTTCTTGGTTTTCACCTCCTCGTCGTTGTGACTGTTCGCGGCCTGCTCCAGACGATGTTTACTCTCTTTATCCTTCTTCTTCTTCCTAAATGAAGACACGAAAGATGACATTTAATGACAGTTAATACGTGGCTTGAGACGCCATAGCTAATGAACAATGTCCACACAAACCGTCTGTGGCCAAGATAGTGGAAGCTACTTACTAAAGAGAGTTATTGAGAGTTCTACATTCGAGAATGTGTTGTGTAAAGTGGCTGTGCTTGAGAATATTTTGTATTACTGAGTTTTTCTGTCCAGTTGAGATTGAGTCTAATTCCTTGATCTCTAATGTGGTTTTGTTGATTGTCATGTAGCTAATATTCACTCTGGTTACCATACTCCAATCATCATCTTATACCTAAAATAACTGTATTGTCAACATCCCCATTAGCACACACTTCTTTACATTGAGTTTTTAGTAGTTCTGGTGGCTAGACTATAATTTCACTGCAGATTATGTGTACTTATTCTTGACTTTTTATTATTCTTATGCCCTTGAGTTGATAAGTGTGCTACTGAATGTGGATCCCTCAGGATCAATAAAGCATCGATGAATCTATCAATAGTTTTTGACTACCTCAAACATGCCCCTGGGAGATAATAAGAGGACCCACAACGACCCACTTCCTTCCCAATGGACTCCTCACAGTTCCTCTTGTTTGCACAGACCCAAATGGTGACCCCCCCAATTTTTTGTCTCGATTGACCTTAAGAGAATCATTAAGGTTAACTTTTCTTAAATGTGTATTTTCAACATCCCCTGTCGTACTGCAATATTACCGAGTTAAACGTGTAGTCCTGATCACAGATGTTGCCTCATGCATCGTTTCCCCTCCTCTGCTTTGTTTAAGTATGAAAGGAGGCTGCACCGGACACAGGTGAATTGTCTCATCAGGAGCCACACCAACATCAGCTTCACGTGGTCAGCCATGTCTGTTTACGTTTGACGTCACTGAAAGGCTTCGTTAAAACGATATCACGGGTTCCACGTGTTGCTGCGATGGTGAATTAACGCTAACAATATTCACCCAATGTCATTAAATGCAATATCTATGTTATGTTCTGTTAGCAAACAAGCTAACGTTAGCTTCGTCGACACCGGGGGTTTTAATCAGTCGGAGTGGGTGTTGAAGTATTGCTGTCAGTTTAAACATGTCCTCCTTCGCTAACAAAACCCGCCAAATGCCTCGAAACTCACTTTTTCCCGGCTGAAATGTTTCCACTGCCTTTAAACTTCAGGACGCTCTTCTGGGTCGCTGCGTACTCCGACATCTTCGAGCAGCTGTTGTTCCGTTTCCGCTTCTGCTTGTGGGTTGAGATGCGTCTGTCTCTCTGCAGCGCCCCCGGCGGCTCTAAGCTGCAAGCACCTGTCTTCATATACAGTCTATGGTCTGATGCCGCCATGTTGCAGTGCATCATCCCGTCCTGAGAGGGGCGGTAGATGTTCTCCCTCACGCAGACGGAGCAGAAACCGGAAGTTGAGAGCAGCTATGAAAGTCAAACTGTAGCATGGTGGGCTGGGGCGTGCGGTGAGGTGAAATTAAAAATGTCAGGTTACAGTTTGTTTAGAATAGCAGCGTTCACACAATGCGCCACAACCCATGCTGCAGCGGCGGCCTGCAGGGCCAGCGTGCTACCCAGAACAGAGACGCGGGGATATGCGAAGAAAGTGGGTGAGTAAAGAGGACATGTCTGTTTCTGTGTTCAACATTCACCTGCTGTTCAGCTCCATGATCCTCAGTACAAGTTTTAAATAGCATCTGGTGATGAAATGCATGTGTGGAAGCTGACTGGTTTTCACTCCACTGTTTTCCATCTTAGATTTAATAATAATAATACATAGTAGTAATACATAGTAGCTGTTGTGATTTATGTCTGTGGAGATTCTCAGTCATCCAGGTCTTGGTATATCCAAGTGCTTAAAACAGGTCAACCCTGAATATTCAGCTGAATGTACTACACTGCTCTGCTTTTCGTCTTTGGTTGGACCAGTTTCTGCCTCAGTGTACTTGTAGGTTTTTAAATGGGATGGTGTGTTTTTCAGATACTCCAGCAACATAAGGGATCACAACGTTGTTCTGTTGATCTTTCTTTTCCTCCTTTTATGTTCTGTTTCTCCTTTTTGTGGTTTTGGCAAAGGCCCACTAGGGAAAACCGCTTTTTTCAAGAAACTCACTCCAGTCGACCTGTTTTCAGCACTTGGATATTCGGTTGTTATTTAGCAATGATACCCAAATAATGATTTTCTTCACGGTCATCCATCTGTGTGATTCACCTGGCTGTGCCTACATATGCAATTAAATCATAATGTGTTAGATACCGAAGCACTGGTAGCGTGCTTGGAGTCAATACATGTAGATTCTCCATAAACGCATCCATGTGTTGATATTGACAAGATGACACTTGACTCTTTTCCTCTGTCTTCCAGCGGCCAAAGGAAAAGGTAAAGGCATGGCGAAGGAAGAGCTGAAAGGCCCAGAAGTGTGTAAAGACCCCGTCAGACTTACTTCTCATGCAGTCGGGGTCAATATCTTTAAACAGGGAGATGACCCCACACTGAAGGCTCCTGAGGAGTATCCAGAGTGGTGAGAGCACATACACATACACACTCATACATACATTTCAGCTACATTTGTCACCACTTTTAATCAGTTACAACTATACAGTTTCTGTCATTTCATTTCCCACTTTTTTTTGAAGAGGTTTGACAAAAAACATAAGAGATAACACCAATCCTAAGGTTTAAAACATAACACAGAACACCTCAGCACTGGTAATCAAGGAAATGGTCATCTGTCAGTCAAGCTATCACAGTATTACAAGCATCCTGGTTGGCCCTTAGAATCTCTCATGCTTTATACAAACGCTCTTGCTAGAATGGAAGACATATTCACATTTATGTATTCAAAGGTTGATTTCCCAACTTTTATGAAGTAAGCAGTCTGAGTGTAGTGGACAGGTTCTGAGGTCCAGCTGGATATGCTCCATTATTATCCTCGTCCATCCAGAGATTGTGGGGCCTACAGGAAGTCCACTGAAGTAAACTGTGCAGGAGTGGGTTTCAAGAGCATATTTTTTATTGTTTTTTTGTCAATTCACTGTAACTGTGTTATGAAGCACATTTAATCAATTTTAGAATCTGATTCCCCTCCTCTTTTACTCAGGTTGTACCAGTTGAACTTGGGAGAACCCAAGAAGCTGCATGAGCTGGAGTCAGACAACTTGGAATACTGGAAGCGACTGAGGAAGGAAAACATTTGGCGTTTCAACAGACTCCATAAGGGGAAGAAGTTTTGAGCTGTCATTTGACAGTGGACAGAGGACAGATCTACTGTACAGTGATGTGCTTCAGACTCTTATGAACTGAATTACCACGACTTTTACATGTTCAGATCACATTGCAAGTTTCTGGGGGAAATATGACACCAACTCTTCAGCACTTGCCATTCATCTCATAGGTTATCTGAAGTCACTCAGCATATTCAGTCATTTAGCTGCATTGGCTCCTCTGGGAACTTTGCATGAAAGATGATTGCTCGAAGTTTTCCTGATTTACTCTTCAGTACAGTATATGATGTCAGGAAGTGTATGACGGGTTATGTTGAATACAGTGAGGCCTCTCACTGAAATGCAGTGTGTATAATGCAGTGTAATTCAACATGAAACCCCAGTCTCATCAAAAACTTAATACCAGAAGCAGAATAAATGATGGATCATGCATTTTGTCCTTGGACACAATTCCACCAAAACTTCCACGTGGCACAATCAGAGCTCCCGAACAGCCACTAAATGGACTCAATGGTCTTTTAAAAAAAACAATGTGTTCTGTATTTGATGCAGGGGATCACATGGGATTTAATTCTTTCATGTAAAGGTTATGGTCAGATGATATTTCCACAAATCAATTTCACCTTTTTTTTCTATCACTTTTTTTTGCAGACGTATTATAAATAAATATAAATCCAACAAACGATGTCTTCATTTTTTGCAACAGCTTTATAAAAGGTTTATAAACTAACTAATGATCGATAACAGCAGCCTTTTGATAAATTACAAAT